AACCCTAAACCCTAAACCCTAAACCCTAAACCCTAAACCCTAAACCCTAAACCCTAAACCCTAAACCCTAACCCGAAACCCTAAGTCGCAAGGCGTGTTTAACTTCGCTTAGCACAGGCCTAAGGGCTGGTGGTCTCCAAAGCGTTCGGGGAACCGTGCGAACAACGAAGCCAGGGAAGGGACCACGTAGGATGTAGCCCTAAACCCTAAACCCTAAACCCTAAACCCTAAACCCTAAACCCTAAACCCTAAACTCCTAAACTCCTAAACTCCTAAACTCCTAACCTCCTAAACTCCTAAACTCCTAGACTCCTAAACTCCTAAACTCCTAAACTCTAAACCCTACAGTACGAAACCAAGGGGGGCGTCGGTTGAGGACGTTGAGGTCTTAGGGGGTTTGGGCTTGTGGAATTCCCATGTTTTTTCGGGCAGGCTACTGTTTAGGGTTTAGGAGGGTTTTAGGGCTTTCGAGCTTTTGAACTTTTAAGGGTTGTGGGTGGGGCAAAATTGGGCTCGAGGCTCTATGTCACTCCAGCATCGTTTCTGCAGACCAGTCGCTAAACCCTTGCTGAACGCAGGGTTAGGGGTTCGGGTTGAGGGTTAGGGTTTAGGGTCTATAGGGTTTTACTCCTACAGCCTACATCCTACACGGTCCCACGCCTCTGCACCTAAAAGTTCAAAAGCTCGAAAGCCCCCAAATCCTCCTAAACCCTAAGCCCGAAACCCTAAACCCGAAAACCTAAGTCCTAAACCCTAAACCCTAAACCCTAAACCCTAAACCCTAAACCCTAAACCCTAAACCCTAAACCCTAAACCCTAAACCCTAAACCCTAAACGCCCCAAGGCCCCCTCCCAGACCATCTCAAGTAGGCTCTGATGCTCCTCGCCACACCGACGATCCCGCCCATGGCGAGGTGCGATCCTATGCACTTCGTACCCTGAACCCCACACCCTAAACCCTAAACCCTAGCCCTAAACCCTAGCCCTAAACCCCAAACCCTAAACCCCAAACCCTAAACCCTGGGCTCCTTAGGGTTTAGGGGGCTTAGGGCCTCTCTCAGAGCAGTTTCATGGGCCCCTCTTTCATGGGTTCGGATGCAAGGGCCCTGAATTTGTTTCGGGCACATAAGGGGTATATGGTGCAGCGTCGCTGCCCCCCACCCCCCCCCCCCCCCCCCCCCCCCCCCCCCCATGGTACCCCCCCCCCCCCCCATGGCCCCCACCCCAAATTCTTTCCCCGCCCCGCCCCCCTGTGGTTTGGGCCCCCCTGTGGGGTGGTGTGGTTGGGGTTTGGGTTTGTTTAGGGTTTAGGGCTTAGGGTTGAGGGTTGAGGGTTAAGGGTTGAGGGTTTAGGGTTTTAGGGTTTTAGGGTTTTAGGGTTTAGGGCTAGGGTTTAGGGTTTGGGGTTTGGGGTTTAGGGTTTAGGGTCCCCGCCCCGCCCCCCTGTGGTTTGGGCCTCCCTGTGGGGTGCTGTGGTTGGGGTTTGGGTTGAGGGTTGAGGGTTTAGGGTTTAGGGTTTAGGGTTTAGGGGTTTAGGGGTTTAGGGGTTTAGGGGTTTAGGGGTTTTGGGTTTTGGGTTTAGGGTTTAGGGTTTGGGGGGGGCTGGGGGGGGGGATACCATGGGGGTGTTTGGGGGGGGGGGGGGGTACCGACACGCGACACGGAACCATATAAGGGGTATATAAAGGGGTATATAAGGGGTACCCTTTCAAGGGCCCATACTAAGGGAGTTTCCAATGAGAGCCCAAGGATCCGGTCGTTGAGGGTTGGGGGTTAGGGTTTAGGGTTTGGGGTTTAGGGTTTGGGGTTTAGGGTGTAGGGTTTCGCTTCATGGGTTTTGGGGGGTTCAAAGGCTTCGGGTTTAGGCATCTTATAGTTTTGAAGCTTGAAGGCTTTAATTCAGGCTTTGGGGTGCTTTTCGGGTTTTCATTCTGTGTTTTGTGGGTTTGGAGAGTTTGGTTGCGAGTGTAGGCTGCTAAGGAAGTGGCTTGTGTAAATACTTTGCACAGTTTCGTTCTTTTCGGCTTGGAAAGGCAGAAACTATCACTTCGTGTTTCGAGTTCAGCTTCAGGTTTTAGGTTGGGGGGGGGGGGGGGGTTCAGGCGGGTTCAGGGTTTCGGGTTCAGGGTTTGATGTTGTAAGTTTAGGGTTTAGGGTTTAGGTTTTAGGGTTTAGCAATGGGGTTTAGGGTTTAGGGTTATGCGTTCACGAATGACACTCGGCACTGTAATGCATTCGATTTTCGTTTCTTGTTGTGTCATGAAAAGCTTGGTGGTATTGGCCCTAAACCCTGAACCCTGAACCCTAAACCCTAAACCCTAAACCTCAGACGGAGCAGCCCCCAACCTTATAACGGCCAAGGCTTACTGGTCTAAGCTCGGTCCTGCCAGTGAGAAGTTATGAAAGCCACTGTTTGAATGTTGGGGGCCTCCGGGTTTAACCATATAAGGCCTGTTAGGGATTTTTGGGGTTTAGGGTTTAGGGTTTAGGGCTACATCCCAAAAATGTAAGCCTTGCGCCCCAAACCCTAAACCCTCTAGTGGCATGACCGTCAAGTTTCTACGCCATTGTGATGCAACGTTCGTGCTTGTAGGTATGATGTTGGGGGAAAGTTGGAGTTCGTTGTTTTGGTTTGGTGGCTCAACCAGGCATCGAATCCGTTAGGAACTGCCCAACTCTGTCATTCTGCAGCGACCTTACTGTTGGTTAGCAGTGAATAGGGGAATGAGGCACCCCATATAATCCCTTAGAGGGTCTATGTAGGGGCCCTTCATTCCCTCATTCCCTGCTCACCAACAGTGAGTGACAGGCAGCCGTTGACGCACCTCCTTCCAGACTACGTCGTTCTGGACGTTGAGGACCCCTGCGCCTCCAGGTCTTCGGAGCTTCGAGGCTTCAGGGTCAAAGATTGAAGTTCTGAACCCTAATTTATCCCTAAACCCTAAGCCCTAAACAATTACTAAGCCCTGAACCCTAGACCCACTTCAAGCCACATCCTTTTCAGCTCTGAACAAGAGGCTGTGAGACTTGATTCTCATGGTTTAGGGTCCAAGGTCCCTGGCCTCCCGAGATCCCAAACCCTAGATCCTAAACCCTAAACCCTAAACTCTTTGGTATACTTGTTGTTTCAATCCGTGCAAAGATCTATCCCGAAACCCTAAACCCAAAACCCATGTAAATCCCTAATCCTAAACCCTAAACCCTACACCCAAAACCCTAAACCCTAAACCCTAAACCCGAAACCCTAAACCCTAAACCCTAAACCCTAAACCCTAAACCCTAAACCCTAAACCCTTCGACTTGCGAAGGAGACGCGCAAGTTCGGTGCGGGCGGTTTCCTTGCAGCAGGCCCTTTAGAGCGGCGCATTCTGCTTCAGGAGCTAAAGCGGCCTGAGATGAGAAGGGGCTTAGGGTTTAGGGTTTAAAGTTTAGGATTGGAGGGCTTTGTAGGGTTTTGTAGGGTTTTGCAGGGTTTTGCAGGGTTTTGTAGGGTTTTGTAGGGTTTTGTAGGGTTTTGTAGGGTTTTGTAGGGTTGAAGGTTTAGTAAACGAGGTTTGTAGGTTTGTGGGAGTGTATTTTAGACGGGTTGGGGCATCGTGTGTTTAGGGTTCAGGGCACTGGTCGGTGTAGAGAGGGCCTCTCAAAAGGTGGAGAGTCAGAGCAAGTTGTCCAAAACCCTAATTGCCTTAGTAGCTGAGTGAGCACACTTTACACTTTTTTGGGATACCATAATCCCCTATAGAACTGAAAGTGTACACCTTTTGTGGGGCTTATGAACTCAGCAACTAAGACGTAGGGGTTTCCGAACTCAGGGGTATCCAAGGGATATTTACTTCATGGACCCTGAATATGGTCCCTTACCTCCCCTAAAGGGTTCGGATGTGTGGGCCCTTGCTTGGTATAACGCAGAGAAGGGGTACCCTGTTAAGGGCCCAGACTAAGGGACCATGCAACTACCCTAAGAGGGTACTTTCTTGGGTCCTCACCCAGCAGGCCCTAAACCCTAAACCCTAAACCCTAAACCCTAAACCCTAAACCCTAAACCCTAAACCCTAAACCCTAAACCTGAGTAAGCCCTAAGCCCTAAACCCTAAGCCCTTGAAACATTATTCAGGAATATGTTTTCATGAGGCACTCTGAGGGCCATCCTAGTTATTGTAAGGGCATCCTCCTATTTGGGGGTCTATCTTAGGGGTTTAGGGTTTAGGGTTTAAGGTTTAGGGTTTAGGGTTTAGGGTTTCCTAAACCCTAAACCCTAAACCTTGCCTACTGGCGCCTTCAGGCTTCTGGGACCACCGATGGCAGGTGCTACCTGGAGCCTTCGCCAAGGAGTGCCGTGGGCTCAGGGGACTTAGGGTTCATGGGGTTAGGGTTTAGGGTTTAGGGTTTAGGGTTTAGGGTTTAACGCCTGGTGTGAGTCTGCTTAAGGGGCCTTCTCGATGTTTTCAGAATTTTCGGCCGGCCTCGGGTTGTTCAGAGGTGTTGTTGAGTGTTTTGGGAGAAACCCTAAACTCCCTAACCCCTAAACCCTAGACCCTAAACCCTAAATGGTGATGGTTGACGAATAATCCTAGCCAAGCAAGTCAAGCATCACAAGCCGGGATGCCGGGGTTGACAGGCTCAAGCCCAGCGGAATGCGGTTTAGGGTTTAGGGTTTAGGGTTTAGGGTTTAAGGTTAGGGTCCAGGGCATTGAGCAAAACTCTGAGCTTGCGGTTCAAACGTCGGAGTTGTTAGGACCGGACGTTTAGGACCCCGTCACAAACTCTAGAGCCCCGAGCCCTAAACCCTAAGCCCAAAACCCTAAACCCTAAACCCCTAGAATCCTAACTCTGAACGTTCTTGAGCCTCCACTGTCAAGACGCACCTACTGATGTCCTGACCACAAGGTCCCCTGAATCGATAAAACAGCCTCAAGCCCGAAACCCTAAGCCCTAAACCCTAAACCCTAAACCCTAAGCTCACATCGTCCCGGGGTTAGGGCTTGGGGCCTGTGGCGATCATGGAGCTGCCGCTGCGCCGGCGGCAGCTGACGCGCGACTGCGTTCGCGTTTCGGCACTTCCATAACCGCTCTTATAGGGCTTCGTAGGGTTTAGGATTTAGGGTTTAGGGTGTAGAGTGTAGGGTGTAGGGTGTAGGGCTAGGGCTTACAAGGCGGCAGGTGAAAACAACAGCAAAAGCACCCAGGTTTCAAGATCTAGAGTTAGAGGTTTGGGGTTAAGGGTCTAGGGTTTAGGAGTTAGGGTATACGGTATAGGTTTCAGGGTTTAGGGTTCAGGGTCTAGGGTTAGGGTTTAGGGTTTGGGGTTTAGGGTTTAGGATTTAGGGTTTAGGGTTTAGGGTTTAGGGTTTAGGGTTTAGGGTTTAGGGTTTAGGGTTTAGGGTTTAGGGTACCCGAGGATGCATTTTCCTCCTGGGCGTCGCTTCCACGGCATGGACGCTTGCCTGTTGGGTTGGCAGGAGGCTTCTCAGTGGCAGGGGCGTCTGCATGAGCAAGTCCGGTTTAGGGTTTAGGGTTTAGGGTTTAGGGTTTAGGGTTTAGGGTTTAGCGTTTAGGTAGCCCAGTTGCACCCTTTTCCCCCTTTGTTGGTTCAAGGTCCCCTTACAAAGTAGCCATCACCCCAAAAGCGGGTGCCCGTTTTCTTAGTATGGGTTTTTGGGCTACCAAGTCTTCAGCAGCCAAATGCATCAGGGTGCAAGGTCCCTTGACTAAATGCGGCTTCGACAGAACGCAGGTGGGCTGTAACCATGCACGCATTCCACACATAGAACCGATGCTCCGCTAGACATATGCATTTCCCGGCCATCTACATCATCTTGACGAGTCGCACAGAGCCCAGAAAAGACTACGAGGCCTCTGGTTTTTAGGGATTTGGGTTGTCGTTGTTATTCCCTGAACCCTGAACCCTAAACCCTAAACCCTAAACCCTGAACCCTGAACTCTGAACCCTAAACCCTAAAATAGATCGAAGGTTGCCCTCGCTACTTAGGCACCACGAAGAGTAGACTCCGAACCTGCCCCCCTATTCAGTTACCGACCGCACTACCCCAGTTTAGGGTTTAGTGTTTAGGGTTTAGGGTAGGGTTTAGGGTTTAGGGTTTAGGGTTTAGGGTTTCGGGTTTCGGGTTTCGGGTTTCGGGTTTAGGGTTTAGGGTTTAGGGTTTAGGGTTAGGGTGTAGGGTTTAGGGTTTACGGTCCTATAGTCTTATTGTCTGAACTGCCCACGACACCTATTCTACTGAAATGAGCCCGATAACCCAGAATCCAGCTGTGCGGTCAGGATCGGACCAGTTGGGCTGACTCCAAAAGTCCGCCAGGCTTTTTTTTTTTTTTTTTGGGGGGGGGGGGGGGGGGGTGGCGGCTGAAAGGTTCTTGGAGTCTTTAGGTTCATTGATCTAGGGGTTCGGGTTTAGGGTTTTAGGGTCCCTATACCCTAAACCCCATTGACATGCTACTGAGGGCTGTCTGGCTCGGCACCACATCCCAATCCCTACACCCAGACTGAAGCTTGAGCTGTGGCGCTTGAGCTTCTTCAGGTCTGATAGGATGCCCAGTAGGCCCCCGTGGCACTCCGATTGCATTTATTTTGTCAGTGGTTGGGTTTTCTAAACCCTAAACCCTAGAGCCTAAACCCTAAACCCTAAACCCTATACACCCAAAAGGGTGAGGCCTACTCGGGGCCTCGTCTTCGGTTTGCTGAGAAACGAAACCCCGAAAGCCCCAGGGTTTGGGACACAACCCCAGGGGTTAGGGCTGTAACTTGGCTGTCTTCTGGTTGGCTCTTGGGACTTTAACTTTTTGGGTTTCCTTATAACTACAATAGAGGGGCTAAAAGTTTAACTTTTAGGAGGGGTTCAGAAGTCTGCCAAGGTAAATTTTCGGGCATTTATAGGTTTTTGGCTTCAGGGCTTAGGTAGCTCTAACATCCGCCATGTCTCCTTATCCTACACCCAACACCCCGCATTTGGAAGCTCCCTGAAACCAATAAGCCGGGGTTTAGGGTTTAGGGTTTAGGGTTTAGGGTTTAGCGTTCCACACCCAGAAAGTAGCCTACACCCCAGGGGCCCGAAACTGTGCACACCTACAAAGCAGGGCGCGGCCAGCCCTGCACGCACTGCCCGGGCGAGGATGAGGGCGCAGACCTTCGGCCCTCAACTTAGCTCCGTTTAGGGCTTAGGGTTTGGGGTTTGGGGTTTGGGGTTTGGGGTTTGGGGTTTAGGGTTTAGGGTGTAGGGTGTAGGGTGTAGGGTTTAGGGTTTAGGGAGAGTTCATGGTTGGTTCTAAGTCGGGTTATACCTACCCCCAACAAGGGTTCTAGCCAACTTATGCCCAGTCCTAACTGCCCATGAACCTCCTGGTATGGTTGTAGTAGTTCTTGGTAGCCCTGTGGTACCCTTTTCACTTTTTTTGGTTCAGGGTTCCCTAAACCCTAAACCCTAGACCCCCCAAAAACCCTAAACCTTATAAAGTACCCAACCCTAAAAGAGGGTTCCCTTACTATTGTACGGTTGCTGGGTCATCTGTGCGAGTTGCACTCAAGCCCTATGTAGGGTTTCGGGTGGAGAGGGTTTCGGGGGTAGCTATCAGGCTAGGGTTTATAGGGTTTAGGGTAAGGGTTCGTACCCTTCAAGCAAAGTCCAGGCTTCAGCTTGCTCGGGTTGGTTTAGGTTGAAAGGCCTAAAGGTATACTGGGCTTTGGAGTACTATACTTTAATACTTTTTTTGGTTTTGGGTTCCCATTATACCTACTTATACCTAAAAAGTATATACTTTTTTTCCTGGGTCTACTCCAGAGGTAGGTATAAGGCCTAAAGGTATGGGGTTCGCATAGGAGATTCAGGACGTAATTCGGGGTATATGTGCGGCTCATCGGGAGTTGGGTCCAAGTTTTTGGGACTTAGGTTGTAGAGGACTAAACCCTAAACCCTAAACCCTAAACCCTAAACCCTAAACCCTAAACCGATTTTGCTCCTGACTGAGGCACCCAGCAGTATTGGGAGGAGTTCTACTCCAGTGATGCAGCTGCCTGGCAGTACCTGGGATCTAGGGGTTCCGCGCTCCGAACCCATGTTTATGTAGCCTAAACCCTAAACCCTAAACCCTAAACCCTAAACCCTAAACCCTAAACCCGAAACCCTAAACCCTAAACCCTAAACCCTAAACCCTAAACCCTAAACCCTAAACCCTAAACCCTAAACCCTAAACCTACTGGCTTCGGGTTCCCTTAGAAAGCAGCCAGCCCCACAAACAGGGCACACTTATTATACTCCCATGGGCCGTCAATATGATCCCCTTCCTTCTTCAAAGGGTTCTGAAGTATGGGCCCTTGGTTGTATGGGTTATGTAAGGGGTTTAGGGTTTAGGGTTTAGGGTTTAGGGTTTAGGGGCCCTTACTGAGGGACCATGTACCTACCCTGAGACGTCATACCGTTACGGGGCTGCCAGGATGGAGCTATGAGCTCGTGAGCTCGAACTCTTCATTAAGAGGTGTAAGGAGGGATCCCCAGAAGGGACCCTTAACCTCATGCCCCTGTACAACCTCAATGTATACCTTATATCGTCCCTATATGCCTAAGTAGCCCCTTAAAAACCCCTAAACAACCCTAAGACTAAGGTTTTTGGTGTTCTTAGTTCTGGGTTGTAGCACAGTTGTCAGACCCCGGGCGAGGCTGACGCGGAAGAGTTCGAGTGGTTCTGTGGCTACGAGGATCCAGACGTCATGTTCCAGTTTAGGGTTTAGGGTTAGGGTTTAAGGTGTAGGGTTTAGGGTTTAGGGTTCAGGGTTCAGGGTTTAGGGTTTAGGGTTTAGGGTTTAGGGCTTAGGGGCGTGTAAGCTTGCACCAGGCCCCACTTCAACCCTGCTACCCAGATCCCGCCCCCTGCAAGCATACTTGACTCATTGAGTGGCGAGAACCGTACCGGGTGCGCTATACAAAAGCAGAAGCAGTTGCAACCTTCTACCTACATCCTTCGAACATTTAGAGGTGCTTTGCTGCTGGCGGCCTACACCAGCACTCCCCTGTGCCTTCCAAAACGAAAGTTCTACTAATTAACCTCTGAGAAGTTGATTTGTGTATGAGCTGGTCTCGGAAAATTTCCTGAAAATGGAAAATGGACTGATCACGTCTTCAAATCTTCGAAAGCAGCATCCTCATCCTACGCTCATCAATGTTAAGCGCTTCTGCTTATTTCGCCCTATCAACCCGAAACGACTGTTGGGTTGAGAGCTTGATCTTTATGGTTCGTTCCGCCCTTCAGGGTGTTAGGGTTTTTTGGGCTTCATGCTTGGCAGGACCTGCGCCCATTCTTCCGTCATTTTGCCGACTCCCTGATCTCCAGGACACTGTTCGGGATGATGCCAGGCCTGCACCAACTACCTAACCCCAAGCCCTCGACCCTAGACCCTAAACTTTAAGTCCCTCGACCCTAAACCTAGACCCTAAAATCCTAAACCCTAAAAGCCTAAGCCCTAAAACCATAAACCCTAAAACCCTGAACTTTAAATCGCTAAACCAACGACCCAGCCGTCTTCGCGTGGCAGGACTCAGCAGACGCGGCTTCTTGTGGCGGGTTGTGGGAACTCGAGGCTGACTTTCGACTCTCTGCTTAGTTGCCAGGGGGGGGTTGAGGGTGTAGGGTGTAGGGTTTAGGGTTTAGGGTTTAGGGTTTAGGATTTAGGGAGGGTTGGAGCAGTTGGAGCCCTCTCGGCTTTTGGGGCTGAGGGTGGTTAGGGACTTCGTGCTTTCCTGGTTAGTATACTGGGCTTAGGATTTAGGGTATGGGAACCTGCTCGCATGCGAAGCTGATCAAACTATATCGACTCCTAAACCCTAAACCCTAAACCCTAAACCCTAAACCCCTAAAATCCCTAAACCCCTAAACCCCTAAACCCCTAATCTTTCATGTCTTTGGGGTGGGTGACTTTGGACGAAGGATGTGTATGATGACGTGGTGGCTGACGAGGGCCTTCCTGTCGACATCTGGAATGTGGATTACGCCGAGGCTTCGGCTCCCGGGTTCAGGGTTCAGGGTTTAGGGTGTATCTTCCCTCAAACCCTAAGCCCTAAGCCCTAAGCCCTAAACCCTAAACCCTAAACCCTAAACCCTAAACCCTAAACCCTAAACCCTAAACCCTAAACCCTAAACCCTAAACCCTAACCCTAAGCCCTAAAGGCCTATTTCTGAAACTATGGCCCTCTTCCGCGAACCCAGGGGTGGCTATCGTTCCATTCGGTACGGGTTCTAAAGAACCGAACTGTTGATGAACCGTTAGGGTTTTAGGGTGTCGGGTTGTAGGGTATAGGGTTTAGGGTTTAGGGTTTAGGGTTTAGGTTTAGGGTTTAGGGTTAGGGTGTAGGGTTGTAGGGTTTAGGGTTTAGGGTTTAGGGTTTAGGGTTTAGGGAATAGGGCGGTTCCTGCACGGTTCGGTCCTCCGGGGAGTTCTGGATGCTGAGGCTATGCAGGGCATGCGCAGTTGCTGGAGCAGTGGGCACAGTTCGCACTGCAGTGTCAGGGCTTCAGCTCGGTAAGCCCGGATTTAGGGTTTAGGGTTTAGGGTTTAGGGTTTAGGGTTTGGAAATGAAGGATGGCTGGCTGGAACGGTTCGGCCCAACAGTTTCGCGCGGTGCCTGCTTGCCATTTTTTGATGATGAAGGCCCCAAACTTAAGTTCCCTCAACCCCAAACTCTAAAGCCCTAAACCCTAAACCCCAAACCCGGAAAACCACCCTAAACCCTAAACCCCAAATCCTTAAACCCCAACACCGAAGACCAATCTAGGGACCCAGAGTTGGTCAGGAATTCACTTTTTGCTTCAGGGTCTAGGTTCTATTGCTTTGGCCCCCTTCAAACCAAAAAGGGGCCAATGAAAAAGGGGCAGCCCCCATTTTTTGTTCCTAGGCTGCTCCTGGGGCTTGCTAATCTAAGGGTACTTTCACGGGCCCCTCATATGGTTCCTAGCCTCCTCAAAAAGGGTTCTGATGTATCGGCCCTCAATCTCTATAGGTCACATAAGGGGTATATAAGGGGTAATTACCCTTTTTAGGGCCCATACAGAGAGACCATGAAACTACCCTAAGATGCTATCGCATTTCGCCTTTGGCTCCCCTGACTCTGGGGAGGTTGCGGGTTTAGGCTCTCAAGGAATGGGCCATTTGCAAGGCCTCAAGTAGCGGCAACTCCCTCCAGTATCCGAGCGAGCAATCTTCAGTCTTTAGGGTTTCGGGTTTATAGGGTCTAGGGCAATCTAGACTCCTTTACAAAGTGCTTTGCAAGCCACACCCGAACTACTTGCATCCACTACCACGTGACCAAAGCGAAGTCCTTCCCTTATAGCCCCCTTTAAACCAACAAGGTGCCAGAGGAGAAACCCTAAACCCTAAACCCTAAATCCTAAACCCTAAACCCTAAACCCTAAACCTCTAGGTCCCAACCGTGCTGCTGAGTCTTCAAAAACAAGCTACCTTCATGGCCTAAGGACCCAAAAACCCTTAGCCCGAAGCTCTCACCATCCCTCTGCCCTAAACCCGAAACGCTAAACTGGCCCTAGAACCTAAACTCTAAACCCTAAACCCTCAACCCTAAACCCTGAACCCTGAACCCTAAAACCTGAAGCCTAAACCCTAAAACCAACCCTGGACCTCAAAAAAAGCTCCTTATCTCCGCGCGGGCAGGCGGCGCTAGATCGCCTTCGCGGCATCGCCGATGGGAGGGCGCGGCTTGGGGTTTAGGGTTTAGGGTTCAGGGTTCAGGGTTCAGGGTTTAGGGTTTAGGGTTTAGGGTTTAGGGTTTAGGGTTTAGGGTTTCTCTGTGTCTTCTTTGGGTTCTTTAGGCGGGGTGGGCTTGTGAAGATTCTCCCTGGGAAGCCATGGATGTCATGTTTCTTTTATGACGCTTCATAAAGAGTATATACATATATAGGCTTATATAGGACATATCTATATATATATATACATATTATAGTACAGATATATATATTTATATGATATATATATATATGTATGTGGTACACTTAAATTTTCTCATGTACAGCGATGGGAAGCTTGATTTTCGGACATCCTTTGCATTTGACAGAGAAGTTCCGCTATGAATCAGGGTTAGGGCCATTGGCTTTAGGGGGTTCTAAGGGGAGAACTTCAGATTTTAGGCCAGAGCGACTGTAGCGTCGAGTCCCATGGCTTGCTATATGTGGGGATCTAGGCATTCTATTTGCCCTTCTTGGGTTCAAGAGGGTCATAGTCAGGGATGTTTTGTGAGAGGGTTCTGAAGGGCCATCCTAGTTGCTGTCCCTAGACCCTAAACCCTAAACTCTAAACCCTAAACCCTAAACCCTAAACCCTAAACCCTAAACCCTAAACCCTAAACCCTAAACCCTAAACCCTAAACCCTACACGTTTGGAGTTTCCGGCCCGGTTGTTGTCTGAGCCAGTTTTCAGGCCATGAACTGGGCTGTCGCCGACTTGACAAATCTCTCGGAGCAGGAGCATGGTTCGAGACTTCTGCGACGTCCTCCTAAATCCTAAACCCTAAACCCTAAACCCTAAACCCTAACCCTAAACCCTAAACCCCCGAAACCATGAAGCTCATGAAAATTACTGCGAAGCAGGACTTTCCGACTGCCAGCTTCGACATCGTCCTGGCTCCTCAATCCGAATTGCCCTGCAAAACCCTGGGTTTAGGCTTCCGCGTTTAAAAAGTTTAGGGTTTAGGGTTCAGGGTTTAGGAATGAAGACCCATCAGTTCCTGGACCCTCACGTCGTGGGGTTCAGGGGTTTCAAGTGCAATCTATCAACAGCGCTGGCTGGGCAAAGAGGCGTTGAGGGACCATTCTTAAAACAAAAACAGCTTGACTAGTATAATTTGCTGTGTACAAAGGAATCGAAACGAATATCATTCAGAGGGGTTCCACGAAAAGTTAGGCCTATGTGCTCTGAAGAACGGGAGTTGCCGGCTTGCAGACATTTCCCCTCAAACCCCGAACCCCGAACCCTAAACCCTAAACCCTAAAGCCTAAACCCTAAAAACCCTAAACCCCAAACCCGCTGTTGCGCCGTGCATTGCGTGTCAAAGCTGCGATTCTCTGAGTCAAACCTCTTGGCCCCCTGTCGGAACCAAAGCCTAAAAGCCTAAACCCTACATCCTAAACCCAAAACCCTATAACTCCCAAATCCGAAATCCTAAACCTAAACCCCGAACCTTAAACCCTAAACCCTAAACCCTGAACCTGAACCCTGAACCCTACGGCCCTGTCAAGGAGCCAGTGAGTATGTTTGGGGTTTAGGGTTTAGGGTTTAGGGTTTAGGGTTTAGGGTTTAGGGTTTAGGTTTAGGGTTGGGGTATGGGCCAGGCCGCAAGTTGAATGAGCACAACGTAGGTTCATAGGTCCTCGAGACTCTGTTAGGGCTCAGGGAACCGAATGTCAACCCTGACCCTAAACCCCAAACCCCAAACCCTAAACCCCAAACCCTGAAACCCCAAACCTTCGGGTTTGGGGCTTTTCTGCGTCCGCAGTGAGGACAAAGGCACCATGGACGCGCTGTTTTGTGCAGGCTCAACTCCATGTATGTGCAGTGGTGAGTGGTGAGATCTGGGTGTATGGGCCCGAAAGCCTGCAAATCCGAAACTAGGCTTTAGGGTTTAGGGTTTAGGGTTTAAAGGGTTAAGGGTTTAGGGTTTAGGGTTTAGGCTTTAGGGTTTAGGGTTTAGTGTTCAGGGTTTAGGGTTTAGGGTTTAGGGGTCTTAGCATGGGGGGGCTTCTTGGACTACATACAGTCTGTAGGGTGTGGGTGTCTCAGCTTCGGTGGTAGTCCTCGGGTTTCGGTGTAGGCTTAAGGATCTTCAAAAGTGTCCGCAAAACCAAGGGTACAACCTTAAGGGCCCCAAGGTCCAACCCCTAGAATTCTGGAGGCTTTGAGCATCTAAGTTTGCGTGTCCAGGGTCTACCTTGAGCCCACGTTCTCTCCCAAGCACGCAGCACGCAGCCCCCAACTCCCCCCCCCCCCCGGCAAAAAGAAGAGCAATAAGATAGGATGAACAGCAGAAAGCGAAACCCTGAACCCTAAACCCTAAACCCTAAACCCCGACACCCGCACATGCTTTGCAGGCTCGGATGCAGTTGCCGCTGCCACGCGCGAGATGCACAGGATTCTTCGACCAGGCCCATACGATCACCCCCCTGTAGGGTTTCGTGTACTAGGGGAGTTTGGAGGGTTTAAACCCTAAACACTAAACCCGAAACCCTAAACAACTCGGAATAATTACAAATAGCACTCCTTTATGGCCCCTGTAGAACTATGGCGATAAGAACCCCCCCCCCCCAAAAAAAAAAAAAAAAAAAAAAAAAACTTTGTTCCATTTCTTTTGGCCCCTGTATTATGCAGTACCCATTTCTAGGATAGTATTACCAGAATCCCCTGTACCTATCCCCCCTAAACCCTAAACCCTAAACCCTAAAACCTAAACCCAAAACCCCAAACCCAAGAGGAAGCTCGACTCGAGCTTGCAGGTATAGTCCTACTCTTGTAGGTGAACTTTGGGTTTGGGTTTAGGGTTTAGGGTTTAGGGTTTAGGGTTTAGGGTTTAGGGTTTAGGGTTTAGGGTTTAGGGTTTAGGGTTTAGGGTTTAGGGTTTAGGGTTTAGGGTTTAGGTTTAGGGTTTTGGGTTTTGGGTTTAGGGTTTAGGGTTTAGGGTTTAGGGGAACGCGTTGGACCGGTGTTTGGGTTTCCCTCGCTGGCGCCAGGTGGACGCATGATCATGGTCTCCGGCGTGCCGCCAGCCAAGGATGCCAAAATCCTATAGCCCTAGAAGCCCTAGAAGCCCTACAGACCCTACAAACCCCATATCAAACTTATAAACCCTATAAAAGCCTGTAACCCCTATAAACACTGTAAGCCCTACAAACCCATAGACCCTATAAACCCTATAAACCCTATAAACCCTATAAACCCTATAAACCCTATAAACCCTCTGAATCCTGAACCCGATAACGGCTAAACCCCCAGAGTGTGTAGGCCGGCTGTAGTCGAAGGGTAGTTGCAAGGTCCCTTAGCATGGGCCCGCTTGAAAGGGGACCCCTTATACACCCCGTACGTTCCCTATACAACCCAAGGGCATGCTTCAAAACCAGTTTAACAAGGCAAGGGACCACATTGAGGGACCATGCAACTACCCTGAACCCTAAACCCTACACCCTAAACTCTTCACACTAAACCCTAAACCCTAAACCCTAAACCCTGAACCCTGAACCCTAAACCCTAAACCCTAAACCCTAGATGTAGGGCTCCGGGCCCGAGCCTCCTCCTGGGCTTGAGGACGTCCTGAGCGCTTTCGCAGATGGTTGGGATGTGCCGACCGGCTGCATCGGAGACGAAAGTGATGAGAGGGCACTCTCAGGGTTAAGGGTTTAGGGCTAGGGTTTAGGGTTTAGGGTTTAGGGTTTAGGGTTTAGGGTTTAGGGTTTAGGGTTCAGGGTTCAGGGTTCAGGGTTCAGGGTTCAGGGTTCAGGGTTCAGGGTTCAGGGTTCAGGGTTCAGGGTTCAGGGTTCAGGGTTGAGGTCTATTGTTTAGGGCTTGGGTTTAGGGTTCAGGGTTCAGGGATTCGGGAACCCAAGGCCCCAACAAATTCTGAACCTGAGCCCCTCAGCCCTGACACTGAACCTAAACCCTCGGGTCTAGGGTTTAGGGTTTAGGGTCTAGGGTCTAGGGTTTAGGGTTTATTGTCTAGGGTTTAGGGCTTCGGGCGATGTGAATCCTTGATTTGAGTTCTGGTGGGTTCATACAGGGTTCCCAAACTTGAAACCCTAAATCCTAAGGGTCTTGACTTGCCGGAAACCCTAAACCCGAAACCCGAAACCCTAGCCCCAAACCCTAAACCCGAAACTGTAGCCCTAAACCCTAAACCCTAATCCCTAGAACCAACAGCCTGGCTTTGCCGGCTGGGCGTCGAGGGGGTTGGGGTTGATAAGTTTAGTTTGAACCGGGCTTCTGGGGAGGGTTTAGGGTTTAGGGTTTAGGGTTTAGGGTTTAGGGTGGTGTTAGCCATAAACCCTAAATCCTCGACGAGGATGGCCGGTAGTACCCCTAGTCCCTTTATTCGGGGTAGGGTTTAGGGTTTAGGGTTCACGGTTTAGGGTTGAGGGTTTAGGGTTTAGGGTGTAGGGTTTAGGGTGTAGGGTTTAGGGTTTAGGGTTTAGGGTTTAGGGTTGAAGCACGAGAGGACACACACACACACACTTGGTGTTCTCCTGGGTTACTGGGTAGCCAAGCAAGTCCTTGGGCTGCTAAGCCCTAAACCCTAAACCCTAAACCCTAAACCCTAAACCCTAAACCCTAAACCCTAAACCCTAAACCCTAAACCCTAAACCCTAAACCCTAAACCCTAAACCCTAAACCCCTAAACCCTAAACCCTAAACCCTAAACCCCTAAACCCTAAACCCTAAACCCTATACCTATAAACCCTAAACCCTAAACCCTAAACCCCTAAACCCTAAACCCTAAACCCTAAACCCCTAAACCCTAAACCCTAAACCCTATACCTATAAACCCTAAGCCCTAAACCCTAATCCCTAAACCCTAAGCCCTAAACCCTAATCCCTAAACCCTAATCCTAGGCTGGCTGATGGCTCGCCCTTCATCATGGACGATGGTGAGGTGCAGTCTGTGGGCCACAGAATGCACATCCATGCTGGGAGGTTTAGGGTTTAGGGTTTAGGGTTGAGGGTTTAGGGTTTAGGGTCTGCCTCAAGGACCTTAAGTCCTAAGCCCTAAGCCCGAAAAAGCCAAAACCCCAAGTCTTGCGCTGTGTCGCGTTCCGTTCGATTTGCCACCACCGCAACCACCTTGGTGCAAAGCAAGATTGTGCTCGCATCCACGGGCCAGACAACAAGAGCTAACACCCTAAACCCTAAACCCTAAATCCTAAACCCTAAACCCTAAACCCTAAACACAGGTTTTTAGGGCTCAGGGCGAACCTGAGCGCCCCAAAGTTACTTTTTCCGGAGGCCACGATCAACCTGCGCGCGCACTTCTACGTCTTCCAGCGGCCGGGATAAGGCTCCACAGCTTGGCTTACTGGTTTAGGGTTTAGGGTTTGGGGTTTTTTCCTGGTTTAGGGTTTACCTACTATTTCCTTAAGAACCTCAAGAGAGAACATAAAGGAATAATAATCCTTAGACTACCCTTATAAGGAAGAATATTTACTATTCTTTGGGGGTTCAGGGTATTGGAGTTTTGCTTTATTGCGGCACACGTCGGATGTTGTTTCCAGTCGAACTTGACCCATTAGGTTTCTCATGTTCTCCCGAAACTGAAGGCCCTAAACCCTAGACCCTAAACCCGAGGCTTTGGCTTTTTAAGGCTTCTTGTGGGTGTGCACTGGTTGAAAGATATGGTTTGTTTGGGTTCGGGAGTTGAAGATCCATATTCCGCATAATGCGAAGGGGTCCTTAGTCCCCAAAGGGACGATGAGCCCAAGACTGGGTTTGAGAGGTTTTAAGTTTAGGGTTGGGGGTTGAGGGTTTAGGGTTTAGGGTTTGAGGTTTAGGGTTTAGGGTTTAGGGTTGAAGATTTCGACATCCCATGTCCTTGCTTGTGCCAGGCCGCCCCCACCACGACATCGGACATCGAGGAGGACAAAGAGAATGCCGAGGCGCGTCCATGCGATGGACGATGCAAGGTTTAGGGTTCAAGGTTCAGGGTTTTAAGTTTAGGGTTTGGGGGGTAGGGAGAACCGAGGTTTGGCTGTGGCACCCGTTTTCGGGCTTCATGCTGCTCTTTCGTTGCTTGGGTTGTCTTCCGCAGCATATTCTTGCGGTAGAACTCATCGTGGAGGACAGTCTGCATGGCCAGCGTGAACGCCCAACCTGCCGCAGGTGTGGGTCTGTGAAGCCTCGAAGCAACTGGATCCAGTCTGGACGCCGATGTTACTCAACCGGGGGAAGTAGCCAAAGCTGCTACTAGCAACATGGTCCAGTGCAAGCTAAGTGGATGCAACTTTGATGATGCTGACGTGCTGAAGTGGTGTCACTCGGATCTTCCCAAACTCTTGGAGGAAAGCAATGGGCTGCAACTGAGGGAGCTGGATTTCTCAAGAAACCGAATCACCTCCAAAGGAGTGGAGCACCTAGTGAAAGCAATGAAATCGCTCAAGGTTACAGCAGCCCGGGTAAAGCTCTACGACAACTTGATTGAGAGCAGTTCAGAGTTACTGAGTCATTGCTAACAACGACTTTTATGATTACTTAAACCCAAGAAGAAACAAAAATAATATTTTTTACACCCTACCCCAACAAATGATGCAGGTTGGTTGACCTGATCACGTACTCGGGGGGCGAGCTGCAGGAGCTTCACTTGTCCCACAACTTGCTTGGCACCACCTCCATCCAGGACATCATCATGGCAGTTCATCACTGTTCCTCGGCAGGAGGTCGGTGCTATCCACTGAGGGGATGGCTGCCTTTGTGGCTCCGGGTAGAACGGAACCTGGCGAGCAGCGCAGACCTGGTGAGTGGGCTCCGTTTAGCCCTGGCAAAGGACGGACTGAAATTCTGGGACGTCATCTGCGTGGTCTCCTGGGATGGACCCTGCAGCCCCAGATTTTGCTATCAATGTGGATGGAATTGGCAAGCCAAGACTAAAATGCCCGCTGTTCACTTGCTTTATGAGCCACAAACCTGCAAGGCGCAGGCAGCCCGTGCGCCAGGTGCAAAGGCATCAGATGCAGGATCCGAGCCAGCCGTGGCTAGCAGCCAGCTTCCCATGACCGAGTTGGTAGAGGTGCCTCTTGTTTGCCATCTTGCTTCAGATGAAGTCGCATCGTCAACCGGGCCAACAGCATCTGCCACAAGAACTCCACAACTTGTGCCGACGGAAAGTCCTGACCCTCCTCCTGAGATCTCTTTGCCTTCAGGATGCCAGGAGACACTTGAGTTGGTCGTGCACGAGCCCAAGCAGTCACCGAGTCTCGATGCTGTTGGCGTGCTCTGTGGTCCGAGCTGCTGGTCAGGCGACTCGCGCTCTGCTTTTCCGGTTTTTTGGCAAGCGGGCGCGGGGGCGAGCGCTTTTCAAGCCATGTGGCAGAGATGGGTCAGGTTGTGGGGGCATCTGGCCAGTGCTGGGGCTGGGCCCAGATCCTCCTTCCCTCTCCCTTTGCCCGCGCAGGTGTCTTTTCCGGTGTCCGAAGCGCCTGTGACCAAGGTTTACGAGGGCACCTTGAAAAGATTCAGTGCAAGACATGGGTATGGCTTCATCAGCAGTGCTGCGGTCAAGGCCCTCTACTCCCGTGATGCCTTTGTTGATGGAGCCCTCTTGCCTGCAAACGTGCAGCCTGGAGACAAGTTCCTCTTCGAGCTGACTCTGAGTGAGAAGCAGCACCCAAAAGTACTGCGCCTCTGGGGGCCACCTCGAGCCCTACGCCACTTGCCAGAGAAGCATGGATTGGTTGAGGTAAGTCCTGCTGATGTTCGGTTCACGCATGATAGCATCAGTCCGTTCTTTTCATGCGGGCGTCGACTCGTCGACACATATGACGAGCTGGTGTCGGGCAGAACATCCATGGCACAGATACCGTTGATGGAGATTGCCGTGAGCCATGGCAAGCTGTGGACGCGCACGGGAAACAGACGCCTCTGGGTGTTTCGCAAGCTCTACGAAGGTGGCTTCATAGAAACAGTTTGGGTGAAGATCAGCTCTGAGGAGATAGCAGCATGGAAGTTCACCACGCAGAACGACGGGGAAGCAGTGAGAGTAAGAGATGCGCATGCTCTTCACCCATGGTCATCACCCATTAGGAGACTGACCGTCGTTGGTTCTTGCTTCAAGGCGTCCAAAGGAGACGTTCAGGCTTGTGTGGCTGCTTTAGACTGACTCGAAAGGCCTGGCAAGTGTTTAGGGTTTGGGACTTTGGGAGTTTGGGACTATGGCTTGTCTCAAACCTCGAAACACGCTCAGCCGCGCCAACTTAGGCGGTCTTGCTTCTCAACACAAGACGTCTCGTCTTGCAGGAACGTGGGTTCAAATATCAGCATGCCGAACAACAAGTAGCAGTAGTGGTAGTAGTACTACTGCTACTTCGTCTACTTCTACTACAACTAGTATATTACGACTCGTACCACCCGAAACCGCCACTACTATGACTACGAGCGACTTCCTCAGGGCCTGATCCAAAGCAGAGGGCCAGATAGGGTTGTTTCTTGGGGGTTTAGGGGTGAGGGTTTAGGGGTTTAGGGGTTTAGGGGTTTAGGGGTTTAGGGGTTTAGGGGTTAGGCGGTTAGGGGTTTAGGGGTTTAGGGGTTTAGGGGTTAAGGGGTTAAGGGGTTTAGGGTTTAGGGTTTAGGGTTTAGGGTTTAGGGTTCAGGGTTTCGGGTTTGTTAGGGTTGAGGGTTTCGGGTTTAGGGTTTGTTGTGCTTGGAAGGTCCCAGCTGGCGCATTTCTTCTGTGTGGCTGATTGAAACCATGCGACACCCAAGTACGTAGGTCTATGGTCCCCCCAGATCTGCAAGCAAAGCCACAACCTGTTGCCTGAGATATTTTTCACAGGGAACCTAGCGGCCGGACTACCCAGAAATGCCAGAAACCCTGAACTACCTGAATCCCAAACCCGAACCCTTCCGAAAGGAAACCCTATAAGCACAAAACAGGCCTCAATGGAGCTAGACGCGGAGCACTACGACGCCCGAACATGAGTGTCACGATTGCCAAGCAGTGGCGAGCGAATGCTTGGCTTCTAGGGTGCTGTAGGAGTCGAACAATTACTAACAGTATCCCCCTATGGTCCCTCTATACATACACTATAAGAACCCCCAAATGGCATCTTCTTTTTCTTATTGACTTCGACAGGCTTTCGCCCACATACTCCCAAAACCCTATTCTAACTAGTAAGGCCCCTATAGTACATCGGCCCACTTGGCGTTTAAGGGCTTTTTGGCTTAAGCTCTAGTGTTTTGGGGGTTTCAGCCTCAACACAAACCGCAAGCCCAGTTTCCCGGATGGCCAAAAAGTTGCCTCGTGTAGGCCCTGCGACACCGGAGTTGGAAAAAATGTCCACGGCGCACAGGGTTCTGCTTCTACAATGTAAAATTGAATCCTACACCCTGAACCCCTGAGCCCTAGACACTGGCCCCAAGCCCTCAACCCTCAACCCCAGACCCTATGTGACACCTGTTCTTGGGCTGATTCCATTCGCAGCCGAGAGCGTTCCGGCCTCCAGTAGGACGTCCCTCATGGGACTCTACCCCCGGACGCCTACAGTTGTGCCCTCTGTTTTTTTGTTGAAAGATCCTCTGAGGGAACATAAGTGGAATCTAAGCGGTCCTGTTGGCTCGGCCATGTTTAGGCTACCCTGAATCTCCAAACCATAAACCCTAACAAACTCTAAACCCCAAACCCCAAACCCAAAACCCCAAACCCAAAACCCTAAACCCTAAATCCTAAACCCTAGCTGAGGTTCGCTGCCGGGCGCAGCACCTGGCTTGCGAACAGAGCTGTGAGAATGCAAAAGGAGTGCCTGGCTTTGTTAGGGGTTTAGGGTTTAGGGTTTAGGGTTTAGGGTTTAGGGTTTGGGGTTTAGGGTTTAGGGCTAGGGTTCAGGGCTCGCAGCTACAGGGGCCCCCATTATTACCCTTTCTTGCCGTGCGAGTGTTGGGTTCCCTTGTGGGAGGCCCATGTAGCAAAAGCACGGTCTCCGAATGATTCTGCTTCACCCAGGCGGGCCGAGTCAGCATCTTGGATGAACCCTAAACCCTAAACCCTAAACCCCTAAGCTCTAAACCCTAGACCCTTGGGCTGTTGCAAAGATTTTTCATGGGCACCGCAAGGTCCTTTGTCCAGTCTTGCCAAATCGCAGGCTGTGAGGGTTTGGGGTTCAGGGCTTAACTTAAGTAGAGTTACCCTAAACCCTAAACCCTAAACCCTAAACCCTAAACCCTAAACCCTAAACCCTAAACCCTAAACCCTAAACCCTAAACCCACAGTTTAGGCCTTTAGGGTTTAGAGCTTTTCGCGCTGAGGTCTCACGGTTCAGAGCCGAATTCTAATTTCCTCGAGACCCCCCATCAGTAGAAGAACCTATGCCCACTCGAACCCTAATCCCTGGACCCTAAACCTACACAGGGGGTGGCCCCCGAAAGACACATGCCATTATAGAGACACCCCCGCCTACCTAAGGCCAACCCCCCCCCCCTAACCCTAGCCATGAGCCCCATGGAGGGTTTAGGGTCTAGGGTTTATACTAAGAACCTGAACACAGTGGGTTTTGGGCCTCTTCAGGTAAACCGCAAGTTTTGATGAACCCCACCCCCCCCCCCCCCCCAAAAAAAAAAAAAATAAAATAATAATAATAACAATAAAATAGAAATAATAATAATAATGACAAAATCAAAAAAGGTGTTCCCCCTCCCCTCCTCCGCCTCTTTGGGAACGTGCCGCGCTTCCCTGCAGCCGCTCTTGAACCAAGATGTTCCCACGCTTGAGGGTTCTTTGGTAGCCTCAAAACTACAACCTCCATCAAAGAGCCACGGAACGTCTAGGTTGAAGGTTCCAGGGCGCGTAAGGTTCAGAAGGCCGACCGTACCGTTCTGCGGATAGCAGGGTCTTATCGGGGAAGGGGAGGCGCCTGCAAAATGCCCGCGAACATGGGTTTGTTTGCACCCTAAACCCTCAACCCTCAACCCTCAACCCTAAACCCTAGGCCCTAAACCCTAAACCCTAAACCCTAAACCCTAAACCCTAAGCCCTAAGCCCTAAACCCCAAACCCTAAACCCGAAACCCGAACCGCCTCCCCATAAAGGACATAGCCGTGAACCACGTAGCCCTTTTGCCGAGCTCCCCATGGGCACTCGAGTGCCACGACCTCGGTCTGGAAGATGGGCTTCAAGCCTCAGCTATAGGAAACCCTAAACTAAACCCTAAACCCTAAACCCTAAACCCTAAACCCTAAACCCTAAACCCTAAACCCTAAACCCTAAACCCTAAACCCTAAACCCTAACAACTAGATTGGGTTTAGGGTTCATGGCCGGGAGCTTGAGGGTTTCGGAGTTTATAGGAGTTTAGGGTCTAGGGCTGGGTTTAGGGTTTAGGGTTTAGGGTTTAGGGTTTAGGGTTTAGGGTTTAGGGTTTAGGGTTTAGGGTTTAGTGTTTAGGGCTTCTTTGCCTAGGAGTTCAGAGAAGTTTAGGGCTTAGGGAATGTAGGGTTTAGGGGTTTAATGTTCAGGGTTTGGGGTTTCGTGGGCTTAAGGTTGATAGGGTTTAGGGCTTGGAGCTTAAGGTTTAGAGTTTAGTCTTAAGGGTTGGGGATTTAGGGGTTTAGGGTCTAGGCGTTTACTATAAATCGGGCTTAATTAGGGTTTCTAGGGTTTTGGTTCAGGCCTTGGGGTTCAGGGCTTCAGGGTACCCAGCCCCATTACGTAATCCCCTCAACGCCAAATACCTAGGCAGTTGAAGGTTTCGTTGGGTCTCAAGTCCGCTAAACCCTAAAACCTATAAACCCTAAACCCTAATTAAGTAACCCTAAACCCATGTAGGGCTTGCAGGGTTTCGGCCTAAGGGACAAGGCCCACGCAGGGGATGTACGTCTTGGTGTTCTCAGGGTTTTGGGAGTTTGGGGTGGGGTTTCTCTCTTGCTGCGTGCAATTTGGGTCATTTTGTACACGGCAAACCCTAAACCCTAAACCCTAAACCCTAAACCCTAAACCCTAAACCCTAAACCCTAAACCCTAAGCCCTAAGCCCTAAGCCCTAAGCCCTAAAACTGGCCGCCGAAAATCTGAACCCCGAGCCCTGCACCCGAAAATATGAACTCAAAACCGGTAGTCCTGAGCCCCCGCACCCCTTGACTCGGATTAGCCGCTGGATGAACGATGTGTGAAGCACTAAGGCCAACCCAAAACCCTAAACCCAAAACCCTAAAATCCTAAACCCTAAGCCTTAAACCCCTGGCAAGACCCCAAACCCTCCCTAAGTTCCTCTCCGACGCCCGGCTGCTCATCGTGCACATCGAGCGGGTCGTGCTGCGTACTTCAAGATCAGGCCTGGTATACTTAAGGCTTGGGGTTTAGGGTTTGGGGTTTGGGGTTTGGGGTTTGGGGTTGAGCGTTTAGGGTTTAGGGTTTGGGGTTAAGGGTTTGGGGTTTAGGGTTTAGGGTTTGGGGTTTCGGGTTCAAGGCTTGGGTTTTGTGGTTTGGGGTTTAGGGTTTAGGGCTAGTTACATGGTCCTTTAATATGGTTCTTTCTTTCTAGGGTTGGGCCCTTGGGTGTTATGGCACTTTTGTTAATGGTGGTCCCCATTCAAGGGCCCATGCTTGGAAGCATGTAACTACCCTCGGAAAGGTTTCGGGCTGGGTGTCATGTTTAGGGATTCAGGGTTTGCAGGGTCTGACGAGGGTTTAGCTCAGAAAGCCTGAACCCTAGACCCTAAGCCCCAAGCCCCAAGCCCTAAACCCTAAACCCTAAACCCTAAACCCTAAACCCTAAGCCCTAAACCCTAAACCCTAAACCCAAACCCCAAGTGTAAGGCTCTTGGGCCTTCGGGCTTGCCACATGCTAGCTTGCGGGCTCCAATGGTTTCAAGGTGCATAAATGCTTCAAGGGCTTCAAAACCCTAGGTTTAGAGTATTTGCGAGTGATGCAGGCTTTGGGATGTAGGGGTATGTCTACTGTTTGCTTAAGAACCCCAAAGGAACAATAATGATCCCTGTTTTAAGTTTCTTGGTGGGTTCTTCAGCAATTACTAGATGTGCCGGAAAGCAATGCTGGTCTTTGGGTTTAGGGTTTGGGGGTTTGGGGGTTAGGGCTTAGGGTTCAGACATCCTCGAACTATTGTCCATGGGGCCAAAGAAGCTCAGCTGAGCCCTGAACTCAGCACGCTAAC